ACCTTTGGGTTAAGAACATTCAACTTAAGGACAATCCCTAGCTGCTTATTGTTAAATAAAGAACAGGTTGCTTATTATTAATAATGGTGAATGTCATTCTTCTTAAAGCCGGTGAAGCACTGAAGCCACGCAATTCTTTCTGGAGTTTTTAATCACATGCTGATTGCTGATTTGCTCCTCCTGCCTTTGTCCTATCTCAATAAAAGGGGCTCTCAGACCCCCAATCTGGGTTGCTCCATCCCGAGAAAGATCGTGTCCTTGTCTTTTCTCCACATTGGCCTCATGGACGACCCACGGGAACATCACAACATAATACTTTGGCAACTGCTGAAAAAAAAACCTGTATATTAAAAACTCCAGAAAGAATTGCGTGGCTTCAGTGCTTCACCGGCTTGAAGAAGAATGCCATTCACCATTATTAATAATAAGCAACCTGTTCTTTATTTAACAATAAGCAGCTAGGGATTGTCCTTAAGTTGAATGTTCTTAACCCAAAGGTTGCCCAAACAGTACTAAGGATGATACTACAAAGACAACGTTGCATTTGAAAAGATCAGAACTGTGTAAAAAACTTGGTATCTTCCTTTGGACTTGATTCCCAGAGCTGTTCTTACTTCCCAATATCCTTTTACAGTTTAATCAATGTTGTTATGTCCAAATGCCTTATTCTAGTTCTCATGCCTCTTATATTGGGTACGGTAATGCTAGGAAGCTCAGACATGAATCCACTGAGCCAATACCTATAGTATTTTACATCAGAGAGGTGCCTGCTCAAGATTTTAGACCGGATAAAACTCATCTTGGATGTGTGTGTGTGGGGGGGAGGGGGGTCATCTTCATTTATTCTAGTAACCGGTATCAAAAGGACAAACTTCCAGGAAGTCAAAATAATCAGAATAGCAATCTTCAAATTTAAGTCTACCGCATCAAAATCACATCTACCATAGTTCTAGTTCTGATCAATAATTCGGTCTGAAGATATATGAAACTTCAGAGCAAAAAGTAACTTCCGCTCCTGGGGGAGGACTTAAGGATCTGGGAATGCTGCTCATACACTTCCAGTCTCTTGGTAAAGCATATTTACTAACTCATCCTCCTTACTCTCAACCGGTCCAGGATAATTTTGTGCTGCCAAACAGAGGAAGCTGGTTCATAAGCTTTCTAAAGGAACTTTTCGGGTTGCTCAGCTCCTTTCATTCAGACATGAGTTGGCGTACAGATCAGTGGTGGGTTTCAAAAATTGTTCGAACCTACTCTGTGGGTGTGGCCTCCTTTGTGGGAGTGGCTTGCCGCCCATGTGACCAGATGGGAGNAAAAAAAAATACTAAATTTTGTAAGCAAACACTTGGTCTTCTAGTTTATCTTCAATAAATTTTAAGTCTAGAATTACTTTTACCTTCATGGCTCTTTATTTTCCAGGTAAGATGATGTTTCAAAAAACACAATTGTCTCTTCTTGCAGTTGCCAACCAACTCTATGTGAAAGCCCACTAAGCCTTCCGGCAGGTGTTTTCACTGAAAGCAATTTGCCTTTCGAAGAACCTGTTTTTTGGTCACTTTAGAAGAGCCTGCTTAAGTTGTATCAGAAGCTGCTGTGATATATTAACAATTCCATATTTGGAACTTAACTATGGGGAAAAAAAGTCATTTTAAAGCATCCATACACATTAGGAATTGCAAATTGCCTAGG